CTTCTTCCTCCTCTCTCTCTCTCTCTCTCTCTCTCGTCGGTTGCAGAATCTGGCCTGATCCGCCTACCCCGCCTCTGTGCCGTCCGCAATCTCCTCTCAAATAAATCAAACTTTTGAATCGCGCTCGACTCACCCTCACCCTCGCCACCCGCACCACCACTCCGCATCGGCGAATCCGGCCACCGGCAGAAAACTTTGTAACCGGCCGCCATTGTCAAGAGTTTAAAAGCTGAATGGAGTTTTAGATTGTACATCGAGCGCTTTCGGTTTGTCATACTCCGCCCACCACCGCCACCCCCTCTCCTTCCTTCGGCGAGTTTCGAATTCTTTACGTTCCTCTTCCACCCTCCCCATTCGACGACGGAATCTTTTCGTTATCTTCGACCTACACTTAGTCCCCGGTGTCGTAGCTACGTTCTGCAATCTCGTAACGATTCTTCTTCCCCCTATTCTTTCTCTTCCTCGACGAAAATCGTCGCTATTGTACGGACTTTTATGGAGAAATCGAATCGAATGGCTAATTCTTTATCTCGTTCGAAGGATGATGGTCGCTGAAAACCCATTGGAAACTTTCATGCACATAACCCGTGCGCATCTGAAAAGAGTATCGCAGCATTGCGGATCATTCCCTTTTGTCGAAAAAGGAGACTCTATTTTTCACGTTTCTGATACGCGTCCAGTTCAAAGTTAAAGCACAGCTTCTTAAGCGTGGATGGAAAAATTCCTCGCTTTGTTCTCTGTAATTCCAAAGAATATATGCTTTGATCCATCGGACGGCGGATATGTATTAATAGAAAAGAGAACACGTGTACACATGCCTGATAAAATGACCCGTAAAAATCGAGATCACGAATACATCGGTGATCCCCCTACGTTCCCCTCGTTATTTCGAGAGATTCGAACGGATCGTTGCACTTCTTAATTAATTAAGCGCTAATCACAATTTTTGCTTATTGGTATCGCTGCACCAATTTCGTATTCGCCTCTCGAGTGGTTATTATTTCCGCGAATCGATCACTCTTTGTTCCCTCTTTATATATCGCCGAATGCAAAATGCGAAAACGAACGTAAAAATGTTCGTGCTTCCTTCTTCTTCTCTCACTCTCTTTCTCTCTCGTTCTCTTCTATTACTTCTCGTTTTATAGCATGTTCTATTTCCAACCGTAACCGAACTAACGTCAACGCGGGGAGATGTGTAACACGCGAGATACGATGCAATCCGACACGGGTAGTCAGAAGCGAAATCGTTCCTCTCGACAAGGAAATGCGCGACGTTATGAGCATCCGAGTCACTTTAAAGCTAAAAAGCACGTGCTCAAATGAGATACTCGCCCGTCGTGTTGGTCTCGCCGTTACCGTCTCGCGCTATTTCGTTCCTTGTCCCCTCGTGACGTGCACGCTGTATCGTATCCTAGCGGTTTTCTGTTGTTCCATTACGCGCAAAGCTGTCTTGTAATCCGCTTATTGAATGTCTCCTTTTATTTGCTTCTTCCACGTTTTACGTGTGTCACGATTATTTGTCTCCGCCAATGGCTCGACGTCGATGTACCATTCTTTCTCTCTGTATATGTATATCTTTTTGTGTGTGTGTGTGTGTATATACAATGTTTTACTCGTTTTCACAGTGTTTTATTCGTTGTCTATTACCAATTCGTCTCCCTTCACCGATGTAATGAGAAAACGTATACGCGGTATATTTCTGTTTTATTTGTTTTTTTCTTTGTTCCGTGTAAAGGATACGAATTTATTTTTACACGAACGACGTGTCGCTTTCTAATTGACGTACTTCTTGCGCTACGGGATGTATGTGCACATGTACAAGATACAAGATAATCTTTGCGTGACTCGGTTGCTGATGTCGTGAAACGTGTTTGTTAAGTGATGTTCGAGAGACGAATTAGTTTTTCGATAAATGTTTTAGTATAGATATAAGTAATATTCGAAAGAATCATTGGAAAAAAGAATTTAGCTAGTTGTTAGCTCACTCATGAATAATCAACGTGTTTATCTTTCTAGCATGCCATTTAAAATTCTTTCAACAAAGGTGTATAACGTATGATGATGCATCAATTATTTGAATAGTTAAAAGCAATCGGAATATTCGCGTTTGAATTGAAATTTTCGTTTCGTTTGATGGCTAACTTCTGGATATTATACATAAAAAACGTATTTTTATGTATGGAATTTTATATTAATTAGGAATTGAAATATCGTGTATGAGTAAGTAACACGATGTTAAATAAATTTTTTCAAATTATTCTGTTCTCTTTTCTTCGTGTTTTATTAATTTTTCTTTTGCCATGAACGTGCGCAAAAAATTTTAACATTTCAATACGTATATGATTGTGTCATCTTAAAAATACTCCTTTGACACTCGATTAACAATACAATTATAACACTTGACATGCTCACATTAATCGGTGCTCATAACTACTCATCTTCAAGTCAGCCATCGAACTTACAAATCCGATTGTTCTTCTCAGTCTTAGTGTAAAAAGTAACCTCGCGATGGACTATTAAACACAATATATATATATATACACAATGCAAACCCTGAAGCGAACTTCTAAAAAAAAAAAGAAAGAAAAAACAAACAAACGATACATTCCTCTTCAAAAAGAAACAACACACCGAGAAAACATGCGAGCAATTCGTTTATCGCGATACGAGGACACTGCCTGCGGTGGCAACGCATAGAGAATGTGTTAAAAAGTGACGGGGCGCGTTCGTTGCAGTGATGAACAACTACCAGGCGGCCGCAGCGCAGGCCGGATTTCCGCCGGCGTCGCCGCACGCGGCCGGTGGACATGGTGGGCCACAGGGCCGGTCATTTCCTGCGGCCAACTCGCCGGGCCCCATCGACATGTATAGTTCAAGCGCCGCAGCCGCAGCAGCAGCCGCAGCCGCGGACTCAGCAGTCGCCAGCTACGTCCAGGCCGCAGCTAGTCCGCAACCCCCTACGACCGCGTTCCCTGCGATCGCCGTGTCTCGTGCCCCGCTCAACTACAGTCCCGTAAGTCCATTCTACGACCTCCTTTCACGCCCACCCCCTCAGGGTAATCCACGATGGGTGTATCCGTAATTTGATAAAAAGGGGTGACGCTCGCTCGAATGGTCCTCGATGCCACGTGGTATATGAATTTTTTCTTCTTTAAGAACGAATCGAGGGGGGTAGAGTTTGAAAATTCGATTGCGGGGGAAGAAAACTCGGGAAAGAAAATGAAGGGATGAAGAGATTGGATTGATTCGATATTTGCGGATTTTGGAGAGGCGTACGTTTGGACGCCTGTGTGAGTGATGGATTTGTACTACTTGGCATCTGTACCTGTTTAATTTGCAATATTTTTCGGAAGTTTTTGATTACTCCATCTACGTGATCATTTGGATCTTTGGAAGTACGTGTTAATGGATTTAGGTGTTAATAGGGGAAGTTGAAGAGGTTGGTGGATGGAAGGTTTAATTTTGCAATGAATGGAGAAGCGAGATGATAATGAAAAAAATTTTATTTGGTAGAATAATTATTTGGTTCATGTAGATTTTAAAGGAATTAAATTTGGTTCGATTTGATTGTAAATCGTTGGTTTATTACTCCTTGACTCCAAAAATTATTCGATAACGATTTAAAAAATCGTGATATTTCTCACATAAAGTTTAAAATTCGATAATAATGGTTTATAAAGAAAAATTTCATTATAATTATATTTCAAATGATCAAAATTAAAAAATAAAAAAGAAAAAAGTCGGTTACTGAAATTTTCTTATACATTTTCCATTTCTATTCTAGCTAAACGCTTTGTTTAATTAATATTCATTTAACACGTTCTTTTATTTCCGCGTTAGAAAGGTGTGAATAGATTTTAATTAAACTTTTCACCGATAGTCTCTGATTGAACTAAAAACTTTTTCAACAGCTAACCGTACTAACAGCATCGAATTATTAAACTTGTCTGTGATACTCCTTTTATCTATTTAACGTACTTTAGTCGAGATATTCAAACAAGATAAAAAACAAAAAAAAGTCGAGAGATTCGAGAGTACGGTGCAAGTTTTGTTTTCCCTTTTTTTTTTTTTGTTAAAGTTTTTCAACTTACGTTGCTATAGCTTCGATTGCAAACCAGATTCAGATTGCTGAGCTTTTCAATTTGCCAGTATTTAAAGTTTTCATTCCATTCCATTTTTTTTATCTTCAATTTCTTTTTTTTTATTTTCTCTTTTTAGAATAAATTCTTTAAATCGTACGATGCAACCTTCCAGGATCCAGTATTGCAATTGCACGTAGTTAAAAAATTTTTGCAACTTAATATAAATTTTTATATAGTATATAATCTTTATATAAAATAATAAAATGGATAAATTAATAAATTTTCTTGAAAATATGACGCGTGAACCTCACTAAATATTTTCTTCGTATTTTAGGGTCCTCTAATACCAGCGGCGTTCACTAATGGCTACCATTGAGCCTTGTTAAGACCTAATAACAGGTACGTACACACGTTCTCTTGCATTAGCTTTTAAATTATCTTCTTAAGTGTTTCATGCCTCGTGATAATAAACAAATTTTATAATTTGGCTAAATAATCAGATGATAATAAAATATTAATAGTATTGAACTTAAATTTCCGCAAAATGTGATTATAAGAAATTTCATCGTAACTTTCATTAAACGATTAATTCAATTAGCAATGATCAAAAGATGATAATATTTCCTATTGTCTTTTTTTTCGCATTTAGCGCATTATCGTACGAATACGGTAACGAAATACTTTCATTCTTTTGTAGCAAACGCAAACACGATCACTAAAAATTAATATAACCAAAACACTATGTTTCCTTAAATAATTAATCATAAATTTCGACTTAGTGTATCATATCGAATAATTATAATAATAATTTAAATAATAATACAAATAATAGAATTTGAATGCTTAAGATACTTTCGTGATTATTTCTTAAAATTTGAATAATACGATTGAATAATAATACTATCAACGTAATTTTCGACGAAAGTATCTTATTTTTTTTTTTAGATTTCATTTCTTACCATTCACTTTAAACTTTACTTCAACAGTAACACGATCCGCTTGCGCTGATTTCACAAAAATCATGGCTTCTAACCTGACGAATCACGCATAGCGTGTTCGTCGTTTATGTGCCGCAATTTATCGCTAACAAATCGTGATTTTCTTTTCCGTTAGGATGGACGAGAGGGCAGAGCGCAGCACGGTCGACTGACGGTACAATGAGCGGTGTAAATGCCTTGGAAAAATTCACCATGATGAATGATCTCTGGACGGAAGAGGACGCGTACCATCATGAGCAATAAAACGAAGAATCGCGATTTAGGTAGAAGAATAACGTTTCCAACAAAAGGAGGCTTTTCGATTTTGTAAACATGATCGATCGATTGCAACGATCGAACGAAAATAATCGTGATTTCCCAGCGGAGAAGAAAGGAAGAGAATCAAAATTGAAGATATTAGAAAAAAAAAATCAAGTAAACTAAGAAATGTAAAAAAAAAAAAATAAAAAAAATAAAAAATAAATTAAAAATCATTGAAAAGATAAAAATACGAAAAAAAAAAAAATAATAGAATTTATAAATCGCGATACACGTCCAGAAAGTTTGCGAGAGAGAAGCAACATGGTAGAGGAAAAGACAAGCGGATAAATAATAAGGAAAACGTAAAGGGCAGATACTGCGTAATGGTAGATTTGGCCGAAACTGCGTAACAATGCCCGTTCTCCGACATTAATAAAGAATAATATATTAATAATAATGAATTAAATTAATATTATTAATTGCTAAATAATTAAGCGACTAAGTCTAGAATATATAAATATTATATATATAAATATATGAATATATATAAATATATATATATATATATATAAATAATTGATAAATATTAGACGATAACGTATGGATCCTTAGTATTTAAGGCAGACGATAAAGTCGCGGAAGAATACCAACTTACATACGAAAATATTATTATAATTACTGGTTATTATTGTATAACACTATGGCGATTCTAATTGATTATAACAAAATGGAGAAAGAAGGATGGAAAGCTGTGCGTCGTGTAAGCTCGCGCGCGTAGCCGTGCGCGTTATACATATATATATAAATATATAAATATAAATATAAATATAAATACAAAAATACAAATATAAATATAAATATAAATACAAATATAAATATAAATATAAATAATAAAAAAATATAATTATTATATACATTTACGCGTAACTCCGTTCGCACCCGGGAAGAGAACCCGTCGTCTCTCTGTTGGGCTTTCGAATTTTTTTTTCTAGACAAGTAGCGGCGGAATGAAGAGAGAGAGAGAGAAAGAGAGAGAGAGAGAGAGCGAGAGAAGAGAAAGAGAAAAGAGAGAAGAACAAAAAAAAAAAAATAAATAAAATAAAATTAAAATAAAATAAAATAAAATAAAAAAGAAATGTACAAGAAATTTTGAGTCGACGTCAAGGAGGAGCACCCGACACGAATGTTTGAAGGGTAGTGTCGGGCCGGAAGGGAGATTTGGGAGACGAGACGACGAGGGCGCTAGGCAGGCCAAGAGTGGGCTTCGCCCTTTTCCTTTGTTTCTTGCGCGCGCGTGTCCGCCACTTCTCAGCGTGCTCTTTGCCGACTGAATGCCGGAATGGCACTTCTCTCTCGCGTCCCGTCGTTGAAGCACTTTTTTCCTTTTCCCGGGTGTGCAACGAGGGAGAAAAGAGGACGAATAAAGCATGGAAAGAGCAAGGAGAGGGAGGTTGCGTACATAGACGTAGGCACGCGTGTTACACGGATGACGTGACGCTGTTTGCATTGCTTATCGTGCGAGGGATGAAAAGGAAAAAAGAAAAAAAAAAAAAAAAAAAAGAAGAGAAACGCGGGGCCTCGAGCCAAGATCGACGGATTGGAACTCGCGAGGCTTTATGTAAGTTATAGTAGCGAAAAGAGAGAGAGAGAGAGAGAGAGAGAAGAAAAAGAACAATAGGAAGAAGAACGAAAGTAGAATACTGTACTTTAAGATG